GATATTTGATCCACCTGCAAATTGACGTTAGTTGTTCAACCCAAACCTCTGACAAAGATTAAAAGAAACCATAGAAAACGAAAACAGTATAGATGGTATATGCTAGCCCTTAAAAAGGAGTTGCAATATGTCAAAATTTCTACAGTTAAATTTTATCTGGCTACAATATAGCGAGAACAAGTCATCATTATCATCATAACCGAAATCATCATCATGTTATTCATCATCATCCTGAAACCTGAGTTGCTCAGTCGGTAGGACGTCGGATTCAGAATCGGTAGTCCCGGATTTGAGCTTTGGTCAGACCAATAGGGTTCCTACCTTTTGAGGTTGATAAATGAGAACCACTCTGTGGGAAGGAGCCGTAAGATTACACTCTATGGTTGTCACGTAGCTGTTTTCGACTCACCTTTAAAATAAGTCATTCCTGACCGACAGCATGAAAACGGAGATGAACGCCCCATCGTTAACTTCATGAAAATGACGTCACCCGAAATGGCCCAATTATAAAAATATAAGGCGGCCTGACATTCTAACGGTTATAAACGATCCTTTCTTTTTTAACCCCCAGTTTTATCTTAGCTGTTTTTGTCGTGATAACGATCATGATCACCATCATCATTCCCCATCGTCGTCATCGTTTAAATTATTATCATAACTGCCATAATTTTGTGCTTCAATGTTAGCATCGTTTCATTAGGGAAACCTGTCTGCATCGTGTCTGTTCCCGTTCAACTGTACTCTCGTAAGACTACACACATGTTTATGCCCGTAACAAAGTGCTACAGCTTACCTGGCAAATTCGATCCAGTGAAATCGGTCATTGTCGTCGATCAAATACAACAGTTCACAAAATATTGGCGACAGATTGTCCTTTGTCATGCCGCACAACTTTTTCGCACGCAGCTTCACTCGCTGAACAACGCCTAAAACTCTTGTGGTAACGACAGAGTCTTTGCACATTTTAGCGCTGGACAGTCATCGCTACGAATATAGGCATGAGTAATAAGCAGAGGTTTCTGTCATAAAAAAATGTTGACAGTGTAAGCAGGAAATAGTGGTCTGTTAAGTTAAACATAACTCGCTCTTGTAACTATTTAGTGAACTTGTCTTCTTTCAGGAATTGAATCAAAGTTTTCTCTAAATGTCATATATGATGCACAGGCCGAAATTTAGTTAGAGTTCCTGAGTCAGAGTTTATCCAAACGTTTGATGGTAGATACCTGGATCCACGATATGACACTGGATGTACGATCTGGCACAGAAATGGTGGCAGTTCTATTTAACGTTAGTAATTATCTCCACTCATGCGACAGAATAGGCAAAATAAGTTCATTCATAGATTTATATTACATACATATTTTTGCTCTGTGTAGGAATGACAGCCGATTTACAAATTACTCAAGAATAATGTTAATTCGACACGCAGCTGCCTTAGAAATCGGTCTGCTCCCTGCCCAACTTCAGCGTTTGAAAATCTTCTCAAAACGTCTCAGCTAATCAATCAGTCAGTTTTTATGACCACTTATCATTTTGGGTCCTGGAGGCAAATGCGTCATCAGAGAGTCTCCAACATTCCTGATCCTGTGCCAGAGTTCGAGTATCGGCTGGTAATAATCCAATTTCAGAGCAATATTTGAAACATTTGCTCTGGCAATTTTTGGCCTTCTCGGGTCTTCGATCTATCGGCAGGGCAAGTAGTAATTGTTTTGCCGTCTTTTCTGGAAACATTCGAAACTCCTTCACAGATGTGACTTTTTAATTTGGAGAAGCAGCGGCCTACAAAATGGGTGTCTAGGATATCTGTATTGCGGACTAAGTCGAAACTCATCAGCCTAACGATTCGACTCAGAAATTGCATATCAGCTGCTCGCATTTGGGATTAATGTTGTTCAGTCAGAGACCACGACATATGATCGTAGATGAGCATCAGAACGAAGATCGGCTTGAATACAGACAGCTTCATCTTTAGATTAAGCTCTACGTTATTCACAGTTGTTTTGGACTAGCCTACCCAAAACGCCTCTGGCCATTCCAATTCGTCGGTCTGTCACTTCCTCCCATTTTCACTCACCACTAATCAGGATCCTGAGGTACATGAAATTTTCAACCTGTTCTTCAACTACTTCTCAGAGGACAGGAAAACGAGAAAGCACTGGACTTTTGGTTTTAGGCACTTTCACACTCACGCTGGTCACATCGCTTTCGTTAGCGAGCGCTGATGGATCCGTTCCAGAAGATGCCTACAAAACGGTGATGGTCGTCTGCAGTAGCAAATTTCCCGTCATCTCCTGCGATTATACATTCGACGTATATCTGTTAATAATGAACTGTTTTTAACAGTTATAAATTCTAAAGTGCTACACTGCGTTGCTGCTCCTTCCCATTCCCCCTGCCCACAGTTTGCGATAGATTTTTTTTAACGCTTCGGCGTTCGAATCATTTCCTTGAAAACCATATTCAAGGTCACGGCCGGATGCTGAATTAATCACAGAGGCACCTAAGATTCGTTGGCAACCTGTGCAGTTCATGACTTCGCTAGTTTTCATTCTATGAACGTTGTAAATGTACAAATTCTGCAGTTCCGCATAACTAAATTCGAAGCTGCTTTCCGTGAGGAAGGCACTGAA